ATATAATAATTATATTTTATTCTTTTCGAACTTTTAAACTTTCTTACATATAAGTCTTCTTCAAACTAATCCAATCAACAAAAAAACACGTAACATATTTATACTTATTTAATTAAAATAAAAACCACAAAATAAGTTAAAGAAACCTTATATTATGTCCTATAAATATATCTGAGCAGTTAGTGTGCTTCTTGTTCCAATTTTGAAAAAAGTATTATCAAAGAGTCATTCAAATAGCATCGGTTTTAAAATTAAAAACTAATGACAAGACTTTTATTATTATTATTATTATTGTTATTAAACTCTTATTAAGAGGCAAGTGTTCATACGATTTTACGGGAATTTTTCGATAGAATGGAAAAAATAGTCTTCTAGTTGATTTTAAATTAAAATACGTTGTTACATTTTTTAGAAATTATTTATTACTATTTTGTTAGGAGGGGTAGAGGTGGACATAGATCGGATTACTATCCACAAATACTTAAGGATGTGGGATGAGTAAATACCTTTTATCTACTATTGAACAAAAGGCCTCATTTTAACAACAATCCTACGCTAAAAAGCTATTTAATTTTGGCGGAGGTGCCTGCCATGTATTATTATTTATCGAGCAGAAGCCGAATAAATTAGCAGATCGCAACTAGTTCAGAAGGAGAAGAAGCCTAATAATACGAAGATTATTTTGGCATTCGTTTACGTAAATTGTTTAAATTGTTTCTCGTCAAATGCCGAACTTTCTGACACGTGCAATAGCCGAAGTCGGCCATTGTTCAAAAGGGTTTGTCACAACGCGTTACGAACATGTGGAAATGCATCCATCTCATTTCTTTCAATGTGCCGAATTAAATGAGAAAAGCAATTTTATTATTTTATTACGTACACGTCCGTTAATAAAATAATCTTCAGAACCTACCTTTAGTTTTAGTAGTATTTTTATCGAGCTTACTATTTTCTAAATCAGTATCATTTTCAGTTGGATTAGAAACTGGTAGTACTGATTTTTCCATTTTCTTTTTATCATTTCCTTTATTTCTCTCCATGGCTCTTTTGTATAATCGGTACAAGGAAAATCTGATGTTGTTGTTGTTGTCACTGCTATTGAGGACGTCAGTCTCGAATAAATTGTTTTCTACTTTAATTTTATTATCAATCGAACTAATATCGGTATTGTTTTCATTATTTGTATCAATAAAATTTTCGCCGTTTTCGTCTGTATTATTTCCTGCGTTTTCTATAGGCGATTGTATTAAATTGCTTGTAAGCAAACCTTTGTCTTTTAAAATTTTCTTTTCCTTAATGTAAACGTATTGTTCATATTGGTGGAAGTTTGGACCCTGTGTTAATGCGTTAGCAACGGGATATGTTTTCTGAGCCAAAGTTGGCTGAGCATCGTACATGAAAATGTAGTAGGCTGATAAAAATATGGCTGCCATCGATACTGATAGCATATAGGCTATGACGGTTAGTATTCTTATCAGTTTTGATTGCTTTTTGGGCTGGAATGGGTCAGGGCTGGGGGCAGTTGGCCCAGTAGGACCACTGTCCTCTCTAATAGCGTTGCTACCTTCTTGTGACATTAATGCAATTACAGCAGATATTAAGATTTATCTGAAATTGACAATACTTATTACAATCAATATTTATTTGGTTATCATTTGTTTTGCATCATTTATTTTTCATTCGATTTTATGATTTTGGAGTTATATTCAGTTACAAATGGAAAGAACTGATCAGTCTTGCTTTATTTACTGCTAGTAGAAATTTTCATAAAATCTGCTTCATTTGTTAATTTCTAAAGACTGAGTAGCGTGTACTTTCCCCGCAACACACATATTTCATTCCGCTATCACCGGAAATGAATATCTACTCACTTATATTAAATAGAACATAAAAATTTTTTACTACCGGAATGAACCCTTTCTAATAATTTAAAAGCACTTTATGAAATACTTATAACGATATTTTATTGCAAAAAGTACAAACGAGAGGCACTAAAAATCATGATAAGAACTTTTTAAAGGCGTTCTTTAAAATTTGCTTAAAGGCGCCATATGTATTGTGTATATGTTTTTAGTGCCCTGTCCTATTAAAAAAATTAAAAAAGTATTTTACGTATACCGCGAAATGTAAATTACTTTAAGAATTCATTTCTATAATAAAAAATTGCATGTTCTGTTAAAAAAACTGCTTTAGACTTAATTTCTAATATAACCGGAAGTGACCGAATGTCGAAAATATTTTAATTGAAAATACTAAACCAAATTAAAAACTTCATATAAATCTTAATTTTAACAACTTTGATATGTTAAATAATTAATTGTTTTTGTAAAAACATAAAAACATTCTAATTGATTTTATTCAAGAATATTATATATAATAACAATTTAGATGTAATAAAAAGAATTGTAGTTTACTTTACCTTACCGTAAAAGTTCCTTCTGGAACATGTTTGATCACATAGTTTATCAGAAATTGCGTTAGGTACCAAAAAATAAATTACTTTTTCTAACTGGAATTGGTTGTGTTTTTGAGCACCGCGTTTGGTTCAACTGTTTCAGTTTTGAACCATGTGTTTATCTGTTATAGTTACATATGATTTGGGCGCCGCAGGGGCGTCGCGGCGGCTGCATGCGTTTTGCACGACTGCGTACTTCTCTTATCTCATTAAAGAATAAACATACTCAACGCAAAAAAATATTGTAAATTTCTTTATGGATAGGTAATTAAATGCCACAATATAAACAATCAAAGGAATTTATTATTGCGTTTATATTAATTACAATTCTCACAGTTTCATCCTACAACCAATTTAAAGAATACGTATATATATTATATATGTATGTATGTTTAAAGAGTATTTTTTTAAAAATGTAATTAATATTAAGTGCGTGAATAGAATATATAATATCGCGTTAACGACATATACACATATTTTAAGGATGAGATAAATGTTTTTGGTGGAGGATTAGTAAAAATGGGTAATGTATACATACAAATATAAGTATAAGTATGTTTATTTGAAATTATATTATGAAATTTCTAATATAAATAAAGTCCTTTTTATGCCTTGGATATTGCGTAAGACAATTTGACGCAATAGGTAACACAAATTGGATATTTTTTGTGACTCTATAGGTATGTAATTTAATAAATTGAAGCTTTTATAATCACTCTTGTCAATAGATCTAGTTTCATAGTCTGATGCTTCAAAAAATCGATAGCTTTATCGTTGCTTTGCTAGCTCATACAAGTGCATAGCAATTCTTTTTTGTGTATACCCCTTAAGAATTTTTTGTACAGAATTGAAGGGAATCAACGCTTTAAAAAAATATTTAAAAAAGTCGAATTGTTTTTAAAATAAATAATTCAGTTAATAAAAATTTGTAATTAGAACACGTAAAAGAATATTTGTGGTACATTTGAAAATAAATAATGTAAAAAAAAAACTTTAGATAAGTTTTTGCTTTCTTTTTTGAGTTGTTATGGATGGTGTTCTTTGTTATCTTTCTTTGAGATGGTCTTTTGACCTTCAGATGGAATGTAACAAAGATTATTACAATTACATATGCTTTTATTTTGAAATAATTTTTGAAAAACTCTGGTTTTCTTAATTATTGCAATCAAATTTGTAAGCAAACTACGAAAAAATAAAAAAAAAATTAAGTGTTTATGTTTTATTTAATTTAAATATTTACAGCTGCTGTCACTTATGTAAAGCATGTAAAAGACAAATATAATGATGATGCATTACAATGGTAAGCTTATCAAGAAGTTTTAACATTAATTCTGGGGTAAGTTTATATAAATTGTAAACATTTGTACACAACAAAAATTGTAATTGCCTAACGTTTCATTTTCGTACCATTTCATACAACAGTCACATCCTCACATCTATAATCTGTGTATGTTTGTATCTAGACCAATGATTAACCTGAATCTATCTCATAACCTCCATTTGAAGCATAAGAAATTGTATGTTGTGTTTTATTTTTAGGGTGCTACTTTTTTCGACGAATCCGTAAATATGGATGATACAAGAAATTTATTGCCAATTTTTGAATCTTATGGACTATTTCGTCCCCTTAAAACAATTTATCCCTTCACATTACAGCTATTGTTTACTGTAGCTTTAGAAATTACAGCAATAGTTTTTGCTATTAGGCACCCTGATGAAAACAGCAAGTGTAGAGAATATTTTATCATAATTTACATGCACGTAGGACTGTGGTTCTTTTCATTAGTAAATATACATTTCAAATTAATTAAAAATGGATATTGATTCCTAATTTTTAGATTGTTGACCAAGTTGTAAGGATCCATCATTATCAGTTGCGTATGAGTGGATACCTAGAATTTTACAAAAAAACACAGGTTCATCATCGTTTGCCTCTGTATGTAATTAGTTTGTGGAATGCAGTAATACTGTTTATACAGGTACTGATGCAGCATTTTTATTCTGACAATTTTGCGGATAAATGTATAAAAAGTGGTCTCTTGTCTCCAATAAGTTACATAGCAGCCCTTATTACAATTGAAACATGTGTAATAGCAGGAGTTAACATAAATTATATTGGTAAGCACCTTTAATTTACATTTACTAAAAACTGAGTTTAATAAGTTATCTAAAATATGTTTTATTTATTAATTTTTTTTATTGTTTCCTGTATTCTAATAACTCATGACATTTAGATTCACCCCAATAGCTAAATACAATTACTAAGGTGGTCAAACATGGCCCTTTGTAGCTTTTTTACCAATTTTTTGTATCCCATTTTAAAATATTTTCATTGATGTGTAAGTATGTATGTATAGTCTAAAAGAAAAAATTTGATTAAAATAAGAATAAGAAACAATAAGTTAAATTTTTCTAAGAATCTTATTAAACTTACTGTTGCCACTACAACATTTTTATACCCTTGTTGACCCTAGTCCTTTATAAGTAACATTTACTAACAATTAATTGTTCAGAGCAGACTAATTAGTATGAATGTTCATATCAGTTTAAGAGTAAGGCGAGTGGTTTCTAAAGTATGTCTAATGTCATAATAATTTACTATTGATTACATGTGATTGTGGATTATAATATATCTTTTGTTGACTTTATACTGACTTTAAGAATACCGAATATCACCTATGATTATGGTTTATATGTAATAATTTATAATGGACCTTAGCCCATGTACATTTTTAAATAAATAAATACATTGTTACAGTTAGGGTAAGGGAGTTTAATACAACTCAGCCACCTCCTGATGTACAAAAAGAAGAATGGAATGCATGCTCATCTCATGAACAGTTTGCACAGGGTGAAATAGGATACAGACCACCTGGAGACAAAATATATGATCTTATAGAAAAACAGGTGTGACCTTTTTAATTATTGTTTTTACTAAATTTTTTATGTTAATTGAATTGTACTTAATATGTATTTTAATTATTGTTAATATTAATCTTTTAGGCTGATCTAATTCGACATTTAAAAGATCATAACGCACAACTGGCAGAAAAGTTAATGGTTTTAAATGCCCAACTTCAAGCACAAAAAGGAAGAAGAATCACAAATCAACAAGACAACGCCGTTGCTACAATTTAATATGTTATTTGGGTAAGATAGAGAATGTATTGAATTATTGTTGAATAATTTGTTGCAGTTTTTCATTTGATAGTTTTTTTTTGTTGATACTAACATTAAAATAATTTGTAAGTAATTATTGGTTTTGTCTGTCGATATTATTAGGTGTTGAATGTATATTTTATAAAATATACTTTTCACGCTACTTTTTTATAAAACGGATAAAAATAGTNCAAAGAAGGTATTCCTCCAGACCAACAACGTTTGATTTTTGCCGGTAAACAATTGGAAGATGGTAGAACATTGTCTGATTACAACATTCAGAAAGAGTCCACCCTCCATTTGGTTTTACGACTTCGTGGAGGTATGCAAATTTTTGTTAAAACGTTAACTGGAAAAACCATCACACTGGAAGTAGAACCATCAGACACAATTGAAAACGTCAATATTTTAATTTTTGTGTAATTTCAGGGTTTTTACTGTTGACTATTTTATTATTCTTTGTTTATTTTGGTGGTTAAACTTAGCCATTTTTTCGTATTAAACGAAACGGGATACCAATATTTTTCTTTTAGATTACACATTCTTATACATCTAACAAGAACAACGTATTCCAGAATCTGAACGATACCTTCATTGGCTAAACATGGAATACATCTGTAATAATAGAAAATACAATTAATAGTAAAAATGCTAAAAATTTGGGCATCATAATGGTTGATTTGAGCTATTGAAGTGATCTTATGTTTCAATTTTGAATAACAAAAAAACTAATAAAAGAAATTTTTTAGGAAACTTGTTAAACTCACTGTTATGGGGGTCGTTTTCATACACTTATTGATCCTAGTCATTTGTAATAGAATCTCTCTTATTTAATTTTTTTAATATAATTAATACTGTATTACGTTTTGCAACACTTATAATCTGTTCTTCACAAAAACTAAACATGTAACAAATTGAAGTGATTCTTATGATAGGTATATTTAAAGATTATGTTTTAAATTTT